TGCTTTTCCATTAATCAGTCAATAGATTGACTAGTCAATAGACAATATAACTCATTTTGTCTATTATGAATGATGCTGCTATGAACATGAGTGTACTACCTGGGTTTTTAAAGTGGCTAATTTCACTTACTCTCTTTTAAGACATTTCTTTCCATATTTGGATAGCCTTTCTAGAGCTAGCCATGGTAACAATCTTCAATAAATGGTGCTAAACACTTGATTTTCTATCCATATAAGAAAAAAAAAAAAAACCCAAAACAAAAACCCCTGTCATCTACCTTATACTGTATCCCAAAATTAATTTGAGGTGAATCACAGAATTAAATGTCAGAAGAAGAAAATGAAGCTTCTAAAAGAAATCAGGGGAGAATATTTTGGGACTTTGGGGTAGGCAATGATTTCATAAACACAATATAAAATGTAGTAATCATCCAGAAACACTAACAGGAGAGTGAAAAAGCAAGCCGTGGCCCCACGGAAGATATTCACAGTACATATATCTGACACAGGACTTGTATCTGGATTATATAAACAAACTCTTAAACATCCACTTTTTAAAAAAGACATAACATAACTTTAAAAATGAACAAAAGAGGGCGCCTGGGTGGCTCAGAGGGTTAAAGCCTCTGCCTTCAGCTCAGGTCATGATCCCAGGGTCCTGGGATGGAGCCCCGCATCATCGGGCTCTCTGCTCAGCAGGGAGCCTGCTTCCTCCTCTCTCCCTGCCTGCTTCTCTGCCTACTTGTGATCTCTGTCTGTCCAATAAATAAATTTAAAAAAAAAATGAACAAAACATTTGGAAAGACATTTCACAAAGGACGATGTTCGAATGGAAAGTAGCACATAAAAAGGTGCTTAACATTGTAAATCACCAAGGAAATGCAAATTTCAGGCACAATGAGATACCATCACACGATTGTTAGAATGGCCGAAATTAAAAATAACGACAGTGTACTTCCTGGAATGTTCAGTAGATACATTGTTGGTTCATGTGAAAATGATATGACCACTTTGGAAAGCCATTTGGCAGTGCATTTCAAAGCTAAACACACACCTGCCCTGTGACCCAGGTTTTTCACTCATAGCTCTACACCTAACATCTACCCAAAGACATGCACAAGAGCATCTGAGCAGCTTTATTCATCATAGCCAAATGCCCATCAAGAGAAGAATGGATAAATTGTGATATATTCATACACCACATATACTGTATACATGCATGATTCCAGTTATGTTGCCTTCTAGAACAGGCAAACCTCATCTATGATCGTTACTACCTCACCTATGATCGTTACTTTTTTTTTTAAGATTTTATTTATTTATTTGACAGAGTGAGAGAAATCACAAGTAGGCAGAGAGGCAGGCAGAAGCAGACTCCCTGCTGAGCAGAGAGTCTGGTGCAGTCTCCATCACAGGACCCTGGGATCATGACCTGAGCTGAAGGCAGAAGCTTTAACCTACTGAGCCACTCAGGCGCCCCGTACTCTTCCTTTTTTAAAAAAATTTTTATTTAATCTCTACACCCAACATGGGTCTCAAACTTACCACCCAGAGATCAAGAGTTGCATGCTCTACTGACTGAGCCAGCCAGTCAGAAAGGGAGAGAGAGCGCTTGGTTTAGCGGCAAAAAGCTGGGGCAGTGGGTGGTGAAGGGGCAGAGGGAGAGAATCAGCACACAGCAGGGAGTGCGGAGCCCAAGGTGGGGCTTGAAGCCACTGAGATAAGACCTGAGCCCAAATCAAGAGTTGGGCGATCAATCTATTGAGCCACCCAGGTGTCCCTATAGCTTTTATTTCTGATTGGCCATGGACTTGGTTAAAAATCAGGGGTGATTTTATTATTATAGAGTAAAAGGAGATCCAATATTGGAGGATAAGTAATAGTTTAGGCCATAATGACAAAGGTGGTTAGGCTGCAGTCCTTCTCAGCAGAATTTGCTCAGTTAATTACTCCTTCCTTTTAACAATCTCCCCTTTTAGCATTTATGGCACCATATTTTTCTAGAACATCTCAGGCTGTGCTTAGTCTAGCTCCTGTACAGGCTTCTCTTTCTTTATCCAATATCCAAAAAATTGGATTGCTAGAGTTTCAGTCTTGGGCCCTCTTGTCTTCACTGTCTATATCTAAGAGAGCTCATCCAATGCTGTGACTTTAAATGCCTTCTATTTGCTAATAACTCCACAATTTGTATCTCCAATCCTGACTTCTCCCCTATGTTCCAAATGCATTTACCAATTGTCTACTTGACATCTCTACCTGGAGGCCTAATAATTAATTCCAAATAGAGTAAGTCTGAATGTTAAAAATAGAATAATAGCATTATCCTAGATTGTTCTCAAAATGGGTGGAGGGGCACAGGAGGAGCAGTAATCACCTCCTAGTGTTTAGAAATGTGGCTGAGGGTGCCTGGGTGGCTCAGTGGGTTAAGCCTCTTCCTTCAGCTCAGGTCCTGATCTCAGGGTCCTGGGATCAAGGCCTGCATCAGGCTCTCTGCTCAGCAGGGGGCCTGCTTCCTTCTCTCTCTGCCTGCCTCTCTGCCTGCTTGTGATCTCTCTCTCTCTGTCAAATAAATCAATAAAATCTTAAAAAAAAAATGTGGGTGGGATTTTTCATAGTCACATGGCTTGGGATGCTACCAACATTTCTTCTACATTTTTTTTTTTAAGATTTTATTTATTTGACAGAGAGAGATCACAAGCAGAGAGCCTGATGCAGGGCTTGATCACAGGACCCTGAGATCATGACCTGAGCTGAAGGCAGAGGCTTAACCCACTGAGCCACCCAGGTGCCCTAACATTTTTTTTTTTTAACTCAGCATTATGTTTGTGAATATCATTAGTGCTGAAGAATGTAGATCTAGTTTCTTTTATCACTGTGTAGTTTATTATTTCTTTCTTTAATTACAGCACAATTCAGTTACCCATTCATTTTTAGTGGAGATTTAGCTGATTTTCAGTTTTTTGTATTTACATACCATTCAGCTATAAGTATTCTTGCGTATGGTTTATTGTGCACAGATGTGAAAATTTCCCTAGAATATATTTTTAGGAGTGGACTTTGTAGCCATCAGTTACACATATCATACACTGTAGCAGATATTACCAAATTGCTCTCTAAAGTGATTATATTACATTTATACCCAGAGAGATGGTCTTTCAGTATGTTATCCTATAAAGTTAAACTATGAAAGAGATGGATATCAGCCTGAAAGTCTTCCTGGTGCTTTATCTGAAAAAATGAAGCTACCTAGTGTGCAGCCAGGAATCCATTTTCCCCAAAGGGTGGTGGCTGCATGGAGCTTGGCCCCATGAGAGGGGAGGGGAAGGGGAGGGAGGAGATGGAGGGGTCAGGAAAGAGGGGTGGGGGGGGAGGGAAAGGGGAAGGAGGAAAAGAGGGGGAGAGAGGGAGGGGGTAGGGGAAGGGAGAGGAGGGGAGGGAAAGGGTGAGTAAATAGGATGGGAACACTAATAAATGTTTTCCAGTAAGTGAGGTTTCTTGTAGTAGAATGTATGTTTCCGCTGTTCTACCCAGACACTGTAGGGCATAAATGAGCAGTTACGTTTGTTTAGGTGCCACTGTTTCTAGGCAGGATCTGGATCTTCTTTTTATTCCTAGTGCTAAGCTCTATACCAGGACATTAGTAGGGGTGTAATAGTTTGCTGAATGGATGAGTGGGAGTACTCTGACATACATTTGATGTGGTTATTTTTTTTTTAAATTTTATTTATTATTTGACAGAGAGAGACACAGCGAGTTAGGGAACACAAGCAGGGGGAGTGGGAGAGGGAGAAGCAGGCTTCCAGCTGAGCAAAGAGCCCGATGTGGGGCTTGATGTGGGGCTCAATCCCAGGACTCTGGGCTCATGACCTGAGCTGAAGGCAGAGGCTTAAGGACTGAGCCACCCAGGCGACCCTTGATGTGTGTGTGTGTGTTTTTACAATACCCATATTCTCACTGATTTGATCAAAAAGTAAATTAACTTTTTAATTAAGTCTGGCAGAAAGTAGAGATTAGATAAGCATTTGTTGAGTAAATAAAAGAACCTGATTAATTTGAATTTAAATTACCTGAGTGTAATCATTTTTTCTCATTGGCTTGATGCAATGTATGGATTCAATCTATAACAGGATATTTTCCCCCAATAAATACATTTGATCTGTTTTGGACTCCCAAAAAGCCTTGAGATCACTTAAAAGGCTATTTCACCAATATCACTTCACATTTTCAAGAAAACTAAGGGAAAAATAGATTATCTCACCACAAGAAAAAAAATCCTCTAAATTAAGTGACTAAATTATCGTGCAAAAAGTATACTAATAGAAAAGGGCCCTAGCAGAGGCAATAGATTTCTTCACTAGGTAGCATTTTGGACTTCTAAAATCATGTTTTTTTGTTTTAAATTAATGTCATCTGCTCCTCTTGTTATTTGCAGTTCCCAGCAAGGTACATGTTGCATCACGTTTAGTGCTCACAACAACTGTAGGAAGACAGGGGTAGTTCTCAATGGCCCCAGTTTATACATAAGGAATAGAGAAGTTTAGTAACTTGCCGTATGTCATAGCCTGTAAACAGGCAAGCCGTTATTTGAACACAGGCAATCAGATTCCGGATTCCCAGCTCATAAACGCTCTATTGTTTTCTCAACTCTTTAAGATTTCTGAATCCCAAAAAACGTCACTTGCCATTTTTTTTGAGAACTATCACAACACTATGTAGTCTACATATATATATAAGGATCATTAAGACAATTTTTTTTTTGAAAAGTATAATCTGAAAAAAAGCCAAATACTTCATATGCACGAAAAGCCCAAGTAAGTTCTGGAGATACAAAGGCGGTCCAGAATTGCTTAACAATGAATACTTAACCTAACTCTCCCAAACGCCCCGCGGGACGCTTAAACCCTACCTCTTCAGCGTGAGGGCGGGACTCCGCGGGCCGTGGGAGTCCGCGGCCGGCGCGCAAGCTCCTAGCGCTGTGTCGGCTCCAGCCTAACCGAAGCTCCGCCCACCCGGGCCGCGAGGGCTGCCGGGACGGCCCCCATCTTCCTCACGCACTGTAGGCCCCCGGCGGCGCTGGGAAGTGGAGACGTTGTTGTCGTTGTTAGTGTTTGTGCGGCGTGGCTTTGTGGTACCGGGACCTTAAAGGTGAGCAACTCCTGGTGGCTAAGGGGAAGAAGTACAAAAGGTTCTGCTTTGAGTGGCAGCGGCGCGTTCCATTTCCTTGTTGCCTCACGCCGGTGCGTCCACTCCTCGCCGTCCGCATGTTCCGGGCGAGCGCCGCGTGGGCCGCAGCCCGGGGCGGCGCGCTGGGCTGGGAGCGGAGGGGCACCGGCCGGGGCGAGGGGCAGACCTGGTCTCCAAGAGGAATGCAGGGGCGGGCTTTCCCCGCACGAGGCTGGGGCCCAAGCGAGCCAGTGGTTGCTTTGGAACTGGGCTCTGGCGGGTCCTTTGGACGGAGGCTGTCCGCATCCCTTCTGTGTCGTTAAGACTTCCTACTTCCACTGCCTTCTGGAGTCGCGGGGAGCAGACGTTTGGGGCTACTGGTTAAGTTTCTGAGGTGGTTAGAGGTGGTTAATTGCCCGAGGCTTCCTTGGATCCTGTGGGACAAACTGGAGGTCGGGGATTGGTGGGGCCGCAGGTGTTCCTCTGGCGTCTCTCTAGGGTTTTTAGTGTCCCTTATTCACTGATGTCAGGGATTCTGTGCGAAGGGAGAAAGTGTAGGTAATATTTCACTTCTGGTTGTACACTCTGGAAAAGTATCACATGAGACGAAGTTCCAAAATTGGGTAGGCCAGAGAAGTCTTGTACGGACCAAACAGTTCTTTTTCTCACCCTTTGCTTTGTAAGGGGCCCTAGATCATGGTAACGATTTAGGGACGTCGGTTGTGGTCGACAGTGCGTAAGATTGAATAAGTTTTGTAGTGGGTTGGCACCACACAAATTCCTATTACAAGAGCTTCCAGTGTGCGTCCAGGTTATTGCATAGCAATTACAACTTAGAAAGCGATACTTCCAAGAAGTACACCAAAGATGGTTCACTACAGTCAACTAATGGCAGGTTCCCTGATGAGTTCTTACGAATATACTTTTGTAAATGTGGCTCACTGGAAAATTTCATAGAGCACTAGAGGCAAGTGATTTGAAATCCGAAAACTTCTGTTGTGATGCTTAGCAAACCAGTCTCACCACCTTACTTTTTCCTGCAACGCTAATGTCAGGGATGTGAAACAAGAAACTGGCTGTAAGGTTAACCAGTATATAGGTGAATTAGGAGACAGACCCTCAGCTTAACATGAATTTAGTGTCCCCGGACTCTTAAATTATTTTCATATGTTCCTTAACATACAGCATTTAATCTAACCCTGATGGTTATATTTGATTTTTTTTTTCATCCTGAAGTTATGATACTTAATCTTTGCTGATAACAAGGTTTTGGTAAGTCAGTGACTAATTTTAAAAGAAATGCAATCCACAGGAAACAAATAAGACTGAGATGCATAGAAATATACTGACAGATGGTGATATGCTTATAGCTGGGATTGGTTGGTAAATAGTTGGAGTTTTTTGCTGAATGCTTTCTTTATCAGCTAAGTGAAGATAACTACTTGCTTTGTTTTAGAGATGGACCAGTGATTTACTGAAAAGGTTGCAGATTATCTATAGCTTTTCAGTTTTCCATTATGTAGTCCAACATTTTCATTGTTGACATTTGAGAATTGAGTAGAAAAATTGAACCTGTGAAATTAAAAATTCTTGATTTTTAAGAAAAGAATGTAATATCGATAATTTAAAAACATTCTTCTAATCTTGAGTGTTATGTAAAAATAATAATAACCTTTTTATGCCAATTTGGGAAAATTTACAGATAGCCACAATGGCTGAAAATGGTGATAATGAAAAAATGGCTGCTCTTGAGGCCAAAATCTGTCATCAAATTGAGGTATGGTTCTTATGATACTAAACTACAAAAATGTGCTCTTTGAAAGGATATGTAGAGCCTCAAAACAGATACAGAAGGAACATTTAATTTCACTGTAATGACCCTTTAAACATTTCGTGTAAAGTATTAAATATGTCTTTGATTCTTGTCTTTGATTCTTGAAATTAGATGGACTTAAAATACTATGCAGTTTTGTATTAGTGGAGCCAATTTATGAAAGCCAACACCTACAAACATTTCAAAAGGTAATACTATAGACTAGTGTTATCTTTTACCTTTTGGTTTTAATTTCCTAGTCTAAAAACTGAGGATAATAGTGATACTGTCCTCATAAGGTTGTTGGTGAAGATTACATTAGTTAATAAAATGTAAAGCATTCAGAAGAGTTCCTGGCATGTAATAATGTAAAATTTTTTGTAAAGTACCTTCCCTTGTTAAATAACACTTTGTCTGTTTGAAGGTCCTAATAGATTTTTCTGCCCAATTAAGCTGAGTTCTTGGCCATTATTACTTGTAATAGAGTATCTGTTTCACAGTCATCTGAGCATTTTTAGTATTGTATTTAAATGGAAGCTTTACAGTGTCAGTAATGGCTGCATGGGAAATTTTCATTTAATGTTTTCTGTTCTTACTGAGAACTTCAGATCATGTTATTTAGTGGTTTTTGCAGCTATCAGAACTTTTTTTTAAAGTTGCACTTCTCGGGACGCCTGGGTGGCTCAGTTGGTTAAGCAGCTGCCTTCAGCTCAGGTCATGATCCCAGCGTCCTGGGATCGAGTCCCGCATCGGGCTCCTTGTTCTGTGGGGAGCCTGCTTCTCCGTCTGCCTCTGCCTGCCACTCTGTCTGCCTGTGCTCGCTCACTCTCTCTCTCTCTCCGACAAATAAATAAATAAAATCTTAAAAAAAAAAAATAAAAAAAAGTTGCACTTCTTCGCCATTTAAAAAGTCCTGTGCTACAACTTTTTGTACTAATTTAATTATAATTGTGAAGAAAAATTTTTAATTAATTCAGTTTAATATTTAGAACAGTACAAAGCTATATATAGACAAAGTTAGTAATTTCCCTTCCATAATCTGCCACCTCAGATTCTACCCTCCTGAAGTAATCAAAGTCAAAAGCTTGATGAATACACTTTCACACTTCATGGTCAGTGCTCACACCAATATAATTTTTATTTTCTTCCCTTTCCCCCATCAAACATGGGATGCTTTTTTTTTTTTTTTTTAAGATTTTATTTTTAAGGGCGCCTGGGTGGCTCAGTGGGTTAATCCGCTGCCTTTGGCTCAGGTCATGATCTCGGGGTCCTGGGATCGAGTCCTGCATCGGGTTCTCTGCTCAGCGGGGAGCCTGCTTCTCTCTCTCTCTCTCTGCCTGCCTCTCTGCCTACTTGTGATCTCTGCCTGTCAAATAAATAAATAAAATCTTTAAAAAACAAAGAAAAAAATATTTTTAAGAAAGAGAGCATGGGAAGGGAGAGGTCAGAGGGAAAAGCAGACTCCCTGCCGAACAGGGAGCCAAATGTAGGACTCAGTCCTGGGACTCCAGGATCATGACCTGAGCCATGGCAGTTGCTTAACTGATGCGCCCTGAACATGGGATGCATTTTGGGAGAGTAAAGCTTTATGTCATTAGTAATTTACCCAATTCCCTATTTGATACGTAGGATATTTCTAATTTTTTAGCTGCAGTAGTTCCATGATGAATATGTATCTATCTGTATTTATTTAGTTTTAAAAATCAGCAAATCGTTATTTTTATTGGCATGTTTCCCTACTTTGGCCTTAAGATTAGCTTAACACAGAGAAGTTTAATTCACCATCCAATTTTACATTAGCATTTTCCTCTTTATTTTTTTAATTAATTTTTTAAATATAAATTCAATTAATTAGCATATAGTATATTATTAGTTTCAGAGGTAGAGTTCAGTGATTCATCAGTTGCATATAACGCCCTCCTTAATGTCCATCACCCAGTTACCCCATCCCTCCAGCAACCCTCAGTTTGTTTCCTATGGTTAACAGTCTCTTCTGGTTTGTCTCCCTCTCTGATTACATATTGTTTTATTTTTCCCTGTCTTCTCTATGCATCTCTGCTTTGTTTCTTAAATTCCGCATAGGAGTGCAATCATGACAATTGTCTTTCTCTGATTGACTTATTTTGCTTAGCATAATACCTTCTAGTTCCATTCATGTTGCAAATGGCAAGATTTCTTTTTTTTGATGGCTGAGTGGTATTCCATTATATATAATATACTACATCATTTTTATCCATTCATCCATCGATGGACATCTGGGCTCTTTCCATAGTTTGGCTGTTTGGACATTGCTGCTATGAACATCGGGGTGCAGGTGCCCCTTCAGATCACTACATTTCTATCTTGAGGGTAAATACCTACTAGCGTAATTGCTGGGTCAGAAGGTAGCTCTATTTTCAACTTTTTGAGGAACCTCCATACTGTTATCCAGAGTGGCTGCACCAGCTTGGAATTCCACCAACAGTGTTAAGAGGGTTCTCCTTTCTCCACATCCTTGCCAACATGTTATTTCCTGACTTGTTAATTTTAGCCATTCTGACTGGTATGAGGTGGTAACTCATTGTGGCTTCGATTTGTATTTCCCTGATGCCAAGTGATCTTGAGCACTTTTTCGTGTCTTTTGGCCATTTTTATGTCCTCTTTGGAGAAATGTCTGTTCATGTCTTCTTCTGCCTAGTTCTTGATTGGATTGTTTGTTTTTGGGGTGTTGAATTTGATAAGTTCTTTATAGATACTAGCCCTATATCTGATAAGACATTTGCAAATATCTTCTCCCATTCTGTTGATTGTCTTTTGGTTTTGTGGGCTGTTTCCTTTGCTGTGCAGAAGCTTTTTATCTTGATGAAGTCCAGATGGCTTATTTTTGCCTTAATTTCCCTTGCCTTTGGAAACAAGTCTCTTGCTGCAGCCGAACTCACAGAGGTTGCTGCTTGTGTTCTCTAGGATTTTGATGGATTCCTGTCTCACATTTAGGTCTTTCATCCATTTTGAGTCTGTTTTTGTGTATGGTGTAAGAAAATAGTCCAGTTTCATTCTTCTGCATGAGCTGTCCAATTCATGATGAATATCTTTATATATAAAATTTAGTAAACATGTGTACTGATTTAAGAGAAAATTCCTTAGAAAAAGATGTACCAACTCAAGGGGTATGCACATTTCAAAAACCTTTGATACTGATTGCCAGTTTACATCTCCACCTGCATGACCATTTCTCTGTGTTCAGGCCAATACTAGGTGTTCTTGTTTTTGTAATTTTTGCCAGTTTGTTAGGTGGAAATGGTATTTCATTGTTTTGTTGCATTTCTTTGACTAATAATGAAGTTGAACTTTTATATATTTATATTACATTCTTATTTTTAGTAATTTTTTAATGTCCTTTATCCATTTTTCTATTAGAATTTTCAGGTTTTTTTTTCCCTTCTCCCTTGATTTATAAGAATTGTTAACAAGGGGTACCTGGGTGGCTTAGCGGGTTAAGCCTCCACCTTTGGCTCAGGTCATGATCTCAGGGTCCTGGGATTGAGGCCCGCATCAGGCTCTCTGCTTAGCTGGGAGCCTGCTTCCCCCTCTTTCTCTGCCTGCCTCTCTGCCTACTTGTGATCTCTCTCTCTGTCAAATAAATCAATAAAATCTTAAAAAAAAAATGTGGGTGGGATTTTTCATAGTCACATGGCTGGGGATGCTACCCACATTTCTTCTACATTGGGTTGTCTGCTCAGAGGGGAGCCTGTTCCCACCCCCCCCTTCTCTGCTTACTTGTGATATCTCTCTCTCTCTCAAATAAATAAGTAAAATCTTTAAAAAAAAGTTGTTAACAAACTTCTTTGTTGTCTTTTACTTTGTATGTTACTTTTGGCATTCCAAATAGTCACACCTGAGTCTTTTCATGTATATTTTTGTTTTTGTCTTATTTGCTTTTATACTGAGTGAGTGTCTTTATGCTTAAATTAGATAAACGTTCACCTGTTTTTTTAATTTGTAAAAATTAGAGTAATTAATCAGTGTATTCCAGTTCTTTTTAACAGTCTGTTGTTTACAAAATGGTTTGAAACAAGAGGCTTCTCACATACTCAATTCTTAACTATGTTTTTGTTTTATTTAAGACTTGATAGTCTATTGACATTATCTGCTAATTATGTTGTTTCAGTAGTCAATTTTTAGTTTTACCTTTCTGCTAATTTGAATTATAAATGTTTCACTATCATGTACTTAGGAGAAAATGTTTGTTGGTTGTATTTTTTAAAGAATAGAACATGGTGATGTAATGGCAATGAAAAACTCCAGGATTGGAGTTAGTAAGTTAGTATTGTACAGTGCTCTGAAATATAATGTTATTATCTTGCAGTATTATTTTGGTGACTTCAATTTGCCACGAGACAAATTTTTAAAGGAACAGATCAAACTGGATGAAGGCTGGGTCCCTTTGGAGATAATGATAAAGTTCAATAGGTAAAAACCTTTTTTATTATTATTTTATTTATTATTATTTTTTAAGTTGGCTACATGCCCAGTATGGAGGCCAATACAGGGCTTGAACTCACAACCCTTATATCAGGACTGGAGCTGAGATTAAGAGTCAGATGCTTAACCAACTGAGCGATAGGGACGCCCCAGTAAAAATCTTTATAAAGTCATCTTTAGATTTAAAACAAACAAACAAACAAACAAAAACAAACAAAAAAAAAACTTGAGATTTTTCTGTAAACAAGTGCTACCACTAAGTTTTACAGTGCTTTTATATATATTTTACAGGTTAAACCGTCTAACAACAGACTTTAATGTGATAGTAGAAGCACTGAGTAAATCAAAAGCTGAACTCATGGAAATAAGTGAAGATAAAACTAAAATCAGAAGATCTCCAAGCAAACCCCTCCCTGAAGTGACTGATGAATATAAGAATGATGTAAAAAACAGATCTGTTTATATTGTAAGTGGGTCTTTAACATGTTTAATTATATCTTGAGTATCTTACTTAGAAAGAAACAGTAGAATGGATAAGAATAAGGACTCAGGAATCAGAGCTTTACCACTTACTGTGTGTTCTTGGGCAGCGCTCTTAAGCTGTCTAATCTTCATAAATGGGGATTGGTTTCTAGAACTTTTGTGAGAATTAATGAAAAATCCATATAACATACAAAATCTTGGGCATATTTTAAGCACCCAGTGCCTATCAGCTTTTTATTTGTCAATGGCTAAACTTGATAGTAATTTTCTTTAGCATATGAATTTTTTTTTTTTTTTTTTGGAAGGTCAAGCAAAGCTGTATTTTGCGCCAAGCATCAGGAAGCAGACCAACCGTCAAACAGACCGGTCGGTCCGGGCCGCCCCCAAAAGAGGACGACCTTAGCATATGAATTTTTTAAGTAGATTTTTTTATTCAGGAAAATTTAAAGCATGTAAAGGTAGACTGACTATATAATGTACCATTATCCAACCTCAGCAGTTAACACGATTGATCTGGTTTTATCTCCGCCCCAAGTGGGTTATTTTGAAGATTTTATTTATTTATTTGAGAGAGAGAGTGATGAGAGAGAATGAGAGAGAGAGAGAAGCAGGGGGAGGGGCAGAGGGAGAGATTCCCTGGACCCCAAGGATCATGACCTGAGCCAAAAGTAGATGTCTAACTGACCAAAGTGGATTACTTTGAAGCAAATTCCAAGTAAGTCACTTTAATTGCACTAAACATTTAAGAGACAGAGAGAGATAGATATAGATAGATGCATATATCCTGGTTTGGTTTCAAGACAAAATGAATTGGAATTTCTGATAAAATTATTTACCTGAGAAGGCATTTGTACATTTCTTTCTACTCTTCACAGAAAGGGTTCCCAACTGATGCAACCCTTGATGATATAAAAGAATGGTTAGAAGATAAAGGTCAAGTACTAAATATTCAGATGAGAAGAACATTACACAAAGCATTTAAGGTATGGTCGTAGGATGTTAGAATTTTCTGTATGATGTTACAACTTTTTCTAGTTGAAAAATATGTGGGACATTTTTTAAAAGAGTTTTTTCCCCCCTTTTAATAGGGATCAATTTTTGCTGTGTTTGATAGTATTGAATCTGCTAAGAAGTTTGTTGATACCCCTGGCCAGAAGTATAAAGACACAGACCTGCTAATACTTTTCAAGTAAGTCTTTATGCCGATATTTCTTTTGGCCACTTAGTTATATGGAATTGACACACTGGGATACAGAATATGGAATAGCAACCCCTGTAAGGACAGTACTTTTAATATCCTTGGGCATTCTTTGATAAACATTTGAAATTTGCCCAGTGGAAACTCCTAGTTCTTTGAGACCTTAAGGAAGTGGGTTTTTTGGTTTTGTTTAGTTTTTAAAGATTTTATTTATTTATTTGACAGAGACACACTAAGAGGGAATACAAATACGGGGAGTGGGAGAGGGGGAAGCAGGCATTCTGCTGAGCAGGGAGCCTTAATGCAGGGTTCGATCCCAGGACCCTGGGGTCATGACTTGAGCTGAAGGCAGACTCTTAACAACTGGGCCACCCAGGTGCCCCAAGGAAGTGTTTTTTTTGTTTTTTTTTTTTAAGATTTTTATTTATTTATTTGACAGGCAGAGATCACAAGTAGGCAGAGAGGCAGGCAGAGAGAGAGGAGGGAGCAGGCTCTCTGCTGAGCAGAGAGCCCGATGCGGGGCTCGATCCCAGGACCCCGGGATCATGACCTGAGCCGAAGGCAGAGGCTTAACCCACTGAGCC